TTAATAACTTCTGACATTGCCAGTACTACAGATAACCCACTACTATTATGGACTACTGGACTATATTGGATTATTTTGCTGAATTCACATACCTACAATATTTAAATGGCAATGGAATACCCATCTCTAAATAGTTCTTAAAAAATTTGTGGGGTACCAAGATGGAGCCAGAGGTGAAGAAGAAAGCCCCTGCCCTTCCCAAGGCTGAAGCCAAAGCAAAAGCTCTGAAGGCCAAGAAAGCCATGCTGAAAGGCATCCACATCTACAAAAAGAAGACAAACGTCACCCACCTCCCGCTGTCCCAAGACACTGCAGCTCCAGAAGCAGCCCAAAAACCCTTGGAAGAGAGCACCTAGGAGAAACAAGCTTGACCACTATGTCATCAAGTTCCCCCTGACCATAGAGTCAGCCATGAAAAAGACTGAGGACAATAACACACTTGTGTTCATTGTGGATGGCAAAGCTAATAAGCACTGGATCAAACAAGCTGTAAAGACGCTCTAGGACATCGATGTTGCCAAGGTCAATACCTAATCAGGCCTGATGGAGAGAAGAACGCATATGTTTGACTGGCTCCTGATTATGATGTACTGGATATGTGCCAACAAAACTGAAATTATCTAAACTGAGTCCAGCTGGCTAATTCTAAGGTTTTGTTTTTTGTTTTTTTGTATTTTGTACAGGGTCTCACTATGCAGCTTGGACTCACACTGATTCTCCCGTTTTCAGCCTCCACAGCACTGGGAATACAGATGAGCGCTACCACACCCGGACTCAATCACTGGCTCAGCATGCCTGGGGGTGGGGCCAGTGCAGCATGTGGTGCCAGGGATTGAAAGCTGGCCCCCACACTTGCCTAAGCAGGCACTTAGTCTTCTGAGCTATCTCGCCAGCAGCCCTTGAGCTCACTAATTCTAAATACATACTTTTTCTCCACAAAAAATTAAAAAAAAAAAATTGTGGAATCATTTGTTAATAGAAACTAGATAAAGGATAACATAAGAATGCTTATTTGTCTCATATTTAGTTGTTAAACCACTTGGTCTTATTGACTCATTTAGTTATCTTTTTGCTAGTACCGATGATCAAATCAAGAGTCCTGTGAATGTTCTCAACAAGAGCTCTCCACAAAGCTACCTAAACACCTAGCCCAGCCTCTACCTGGGTACTTTGAATTTCTTAGTTCCCAGGGACACTGTTAGTCCACACCTCATTGTTCATTCCCTCTGAAGTAGTATCTTCCAGGGAGAGGGGGAATTAGGAGGACAACAGTAGAGGAAATATTTTGGAGTCAACTGGAGAGTTTTCCTAAACTGTACCCTACCAACATCACAATCACAGAAAGCCAAAGCTTTAAAAGTATGCTGAAGACTGAATAACAAGACTGCAATCAGGGTTTAACTAGAACTGAATTTAGAAACATTACTACAAGTGCTGCTAAGAAGTTTCCAAGAAAGAGTAATGAGGCCAACACAAAGAGGTTCTGCGATTTTCAGGATTTTTCACACAGGATTCAGTTTCCCGCTAGACTTATAAAAACTCAAGAAACCAAAGACAATTTTGTTTTGCGGAATGGGTCTCGCTGTGTAGTTCATGCTGACCTTGAATTCACTATGTAGCCCAAGGTAGCCTTGAACTTATAGCAGTTCTCCTGCTTCAACCTTCTGAGTGCTGGCACTACATGCACACCAAACGCGAAGACATTTATTTGCATCACAGCTATGTTAAACAACACAGTTTCAATTACTTACCTCCGATATTCTGAATTATTATGGTGCCTGCTACCACCACCTATAAAAGAATAAATGCATTCCGAAGATTAAGGGGGAAATAATATAAAAGTCAATATTTTAATAAAATCCAATACTATCAAACAGATGCCCAAATGGTGAGTGAAGAAACTGCAAAACATAAAATTTGCCAGCTATAATAATTCTACAGCTACTATAAAGAAAATTTTTGAAAATGTTCTTGACAGCCATTTTTGAACAGTTAAAAGTGTTAAAAGTTAGTGTAATCAATGGTTATCAAAGTAGAAGAAGCCGAAAATCAATTCGGGGAGCCGCATGATCCCTTCCTTCCTGGTTTTACCATTCTGCAGTAGTATAGAGAAGAAGATAGCTTGGGCGGGGGGGGGGGGGGGGCAGTTGGCAATGCTGCACTGCCTAAAAAAATGATACAGTCCTGGGTACATCCCGTTGACCTCACCTAGCCTTTGAGAGCCTGGAGAGGAGAAAACAGGAAAGCTGTAACCCAGCTGTGGAGGTAGGAAGTAAATAACAGCTCTTCACTCAAGAGTATACTGCCTAGTATTCTTGCCTTTATGAACGGTATACATATTAAAATTATGACCACCCTAGACTCTAAGGAAAAGAAAGCTCAAAAATCCATTCATTTTGAGACAGGGTCTGGCTAAATTGCTAAGCTGCCCAGGCTGGCCTAAAACTTGTAATCCTCCTGTTTCAGCTTCCCAGAGTGCTGGAAATACAGGGATGCCTCATGAAGCCCAGCATGTACATTCCTTTTAGACCGCTGCTGCACGAGGTGCAGGAAATACTCATGTGAAATGATGACGATGGCAGTGGTTACACCAGATTTATGCTTAGAGATCATTAAACAGAGAGTTTTCTTATACAATATTTTCTTCCTTGATTAAACTACATGTAGGAATAGTTTCTGTTTCGTTCAAGTTTTATGTTATTTGGATGTAAGACACAAGGCTATCTAGTTCATTATTTAAAGATTTCTTTTGTACTTTACAAGCAAAGTTAATTGGAATGTATGAATAGGTTTTTCTCCCCTTTGTATAGCCATATCTTTTACCTCCCAGATTCACCATGTAGAAACTAGCTGTCTATATATCCTTGAGTTCTAACAGCCCTTAACTGCTTAGATCCTTAATTTTCTTACTCATAAGTGATGGGAGAACTAGGCAATCTTTTTAGCATTGTTCAACTCTTTAAGTAATAAGATCTCTGAATTAGTGCCTTTGAAAATAGCCCTTCTATAATTTTATTTTTATAATATTCTGTTTTATTCAAAAAATATAATATTAACAAGGACTGCTTAAAACAAGCTGTTACTGACCTAAAATTCTTCAAGTCATTGTTTTCCTTCATCAGGATGAAATGTATTAAAAGGTTTCAGTATTGAATTAAGTTTATTGATGAGCAGAAAGTACACTGATAATTTTTTCTTTTCTTGCTCCCATCATTTTTTTTTTTTTTTTCCATTTCCCTTTACACTCATAAGGTCTGTCTCTGATATATATTAGTCTCTTT